CATATGTATTTTTGGAAACCTTATTTTTAACCCTGAAAAAAAGAAGTGTCCCCCACAGGCTCTTGAAGAAACTTGAGCAAACATTGCCAGGCAAGTAAACACTAAATGAACCCAGGGACAATGTTCTTTAAACACATTTGCTCAGACCAAGGAGCAAAGAATTTATGCTGATTCTGGGTAACTGGCCACAAATAAAATGTGTCAGAGAGGCCTTTTCCAAGTGTTCCATATCTTTTTTGGTCTAAACTGCCCATGTGCTTTAGCAGTCTGTAAATATTTGTGCAATTAATATATGCTGGCAAATGTCTCAGGAGGAAGGCAGGCTTCATTATGCCAAGTAAAAGTGTAATTAGCAACACAAAAGAAAAAGGATTGTCTCTTTCATCTCATTGCTTAAAGACTGTCAGCACTTAATACATCTGGAAGCTTCAGAAAAGGTAATTTGCAAAAGCTGATTTCCTAAGCTTTTAAAAGTTAGCCCTTTACCCTACTATAAAAAACATTCACTTTAGAATTATTTTTTCCCTTTCCTACTTAACATCAACCCAGTTAATAATTACGAGAGGCATGGTAGAGAAAATTTCTTTGAAAAATATCAGTAATGTTTAAGGGAACATTTTGCACTGTGGTACCTACGAGGTACTAGAGGAGAGAGAAAACATGAGTGACCCTGCTTATCTAGAAATGATTGACTAAGTGATTCGAGAGGAAGAGGAAGGATGGGTGCCTGCTGACACCAGCTGGAAAAGCCAGTGCACCTGCACCCATTCACTGCAAGCTGTCTCCTCTTCTCTTACGCTTCACAGGCTTCCAAGGAAAGTTGCCCTGGGCTTGAAGCTCCTCTTCAGCCTCAGAGAGTTCTTGAGAAAGAGTTCTCTAGTTCTTAGCACGTTTGTGATTTGAATCCTTTGCCGTTCAGTCTGGGGATAAGATAACCAAGTGTTATGGACTGACTGTACTCCCCCCAAATTCATATGTTGGAGTCCTAACCCCCAATGTGACAGTATTAGGAGGAGCTTGGATCATGAGTGTGGCTCCCTCATGAGTAGGATTAGTGCCCTTATAAAAGAGTTGCCAGAGAGGTTTCTTTGCCTTTTCTTCATGTGAGGACACAGCAACAAGGTAAAGTCTAGGAAGCTGACTCTCACCAGATGCTGAATCTGCCAGCAATTTGATCCTGGACTTCCCAGCCTCCAGAACAGTGAGAAACATGTTTGTTGTTCAAGCCGCCTCTCGCACAGTTATTATCATTGCAGCCCAGACTGACGGGGACACCCAGTCTGTGAAGAGCCAGTGCGTCGCTGGCCCTTTGCTGGTCTTTACTGCCATTCGTGCTGATCTGCAAGGGAGCCTTTCAGTATCAGCATAAGCTATCCTAAGACCACCTACATTAGAATCTCCAGGCAAGCTTGTTAAATGAGTAGATTCCTGGTCTCCACCCCAGAAATACTGAATCACAATGGCAGGTGGGATGGGATATAAAAATCTGCTTCATAAACAGATTCTCAAGCAATCTAAAGCTTGGGAATCAGTGGAGTGAAGGAAACGTCATCTACCTACCTGCTGACCTTAATTTCCCCTTCTCTGCTGCCTCCCTTCAGCCTTTTTGGAAAGTTGAAGTAGAAGAGGATGATATTTCCTCTGGGAACCCCTCTCTGAATCCCCAAAGACAGGGACACTACCTCATCTGCATTCTGGAGTAATGTGCACACAGCGCTGTTAGAGTCACTATTTACTGGAGCGATTTGTTTACCTCCTCTGGGGAAAGCATCATTTTTGGATCGTCTTTGCCCAATACTTGACACAACAATTGGCATTTAGTAGGACTCTAAGTGTTTGCTGCAGAAATCAGTCTTTGGTATAATCGCCGCACTTCTGGTAGACCTCACTTTGTGAGGCAATGACTAGAAGACAAGATTAAGGAAACGGCCCTTGAGGCACAAAGAGTGAGCGGAGGGTCCAGTGGAGCAGCTTCTGTTCTTTCCTTTCCATAAGCTTCTCATCATTGTTATCACCTTTGACCTTTGGCTGAGTATCTCGTGGCAGGCATTGTGCTAACATGCACTTCACATACATTAATCTCATTTGCTCTTCTTGTTGCCATCCTCATGTGTACAGGAGGGAACTGAAGGATTGACTAAGGTCACAGTATTAAATGGTCAAGTGGCAGAGCTGGGATTAGAACTCAGATCAGACTCAGAGCCAAATTTTAAATACTAATGGTTAAAACACCTTTGCTAACCCTAATCCTAACAGGAAAGTATGATGCTATGATTGACATATGCCTTAAACAAGTTAAGCTAGAAATAGCAATCTAGACCAAACCTATCAGACTGTTTGCCCTTCCTTCTCTTTCCCAAATCTTCTCTTTCCCAAATCTTTCCTGAACTTTATGCCATCCACCTGGGTCAGACCATCAAAGCTCAAGAAATGCTCAGCCTTGTACATGTGCAGCCATAACCCCATGTTCCTCAAGTTAAGTCCTTTGACATAGTTTGACTTCAAATGCTTAAAATTAAGTTAGTAGGAAATTGTAATCCCATAAATATTTATAGTGCCTATATACCAAAATTCATGCCAAAGCAACTCATCATATCTGGCTCTTTTTGAATGCTGATCAGGTACTTTTATTCATGCGTGAAACTGCGGGCTAATGGAGTTTCCATGTCCACATCAGTACTATGCTGGTGGCTGGGGCCTTCCAAATACGTTCTTGGTCTGTTTGGGTTAATGATTTATGAATCAAGAAGAATTACTTGCCATCTGATCCCAAAAGAAGTCCTGAGGCCTATCAAAAAGGTGATCTATGGCCTGATCACACTGGCAGGGAGAGGTAATAATTCTCTTGGTGTCTTGGTGTTTATCAGGATCTGAGGACGAGTAGAAAGAGACAAGCTCTGAGGCTTCAAGGTATAACGACTCCTGCCACCAGTGAAATGCAACGAATGGTTCCCTTAATCCTGCTCTGTTTATGAAGATATTTTAAAGGCTGCAATTCACATTTGCAGATACTTTGAGAACATATAAATAATCCTTTTATATCACTCCGCAGAACACTCCTTTAAAATGGAGAAGGGCATAGAAAGTATACTATGTAAATTAAAGGCATCGTGTAGTTTTATAAGAGGACTTTGCTGAAGGTTAAAAGATGCCTGAAAATGTCCCGAAATATGTATGTTCTTTCACTAATTTTCTTTAGGCATATAGTATATATTCAGTGCAGAGGGGAAGGAAAAAGGCGTAAGTAAGTGGTCCTTGACCTCAAAACAGAGTTTCTCAAATTGTAATGTGCACACGGATTCCCTGGTGATCTGGATAAAATGCATATTTTTGTTGAGTAGGTCTGGGCCAGGGCCTGATATTCTGCATTTCTGACAAGCTCCCAGAGATGGCTGGTGTCACTGTGTGCACACCTGGAGTTGCAAGGCACTACAATATTTATAAGGCAAGCATTGTAAAAGAACCTTTTGATCTGCATATCTGTGAAGAACTCTTAAGAACCACATTCTTTCAGAAATGAGTGATACCTGGGCTACTGCCATTTGTCTCTCTGCCTAATGACACTGAAGAATTGTCACTTTAAACTGATGACAGATGCACCTTCTCATCCAGCAGATGTTTGCTAGAAAAGAACCTGAAAGATGAAAAGCTGGACAGAGGGTCTGGGTCTCCTAGGAAGTCAAAAGGCAATCCTTGGTTACCAGAGTAGTTGGTAACAAGATTTCAAGTGATGCCCTGCAAGACTGGGCAAAATAAGGTGTCTGTACCCTTTCAATGGACATCACTTTCTTTCTCACAAACAGGCTTTGGTTTCCTTGTTTTTAAACCATGTGAATATGCTGAACTCCAGCACTTTATTTTGGGACCAATTTTGAGCAATTCGTAGACATAATAGTCTTATGTTGGTTTATGGAAATTTTCTCAGAGAAAAAGCTCAGTGCGGAACATACTGCTGACTGTGAATGTATTAACAGCTAACACTTAAAGCAGGCCAGTGGCACCTACAGGAACAACAAAGAGCCCACTGAGTCAGCAGTGACACCACAGGTCTGCACTGTCCTTTTCATATGACATCAGCAGTGCTCTGGATACTAAAAGTACCTAGAATAATCTATTCCTACCAAGGGCAGTTTGGTTTCTAAATAATCAGAATTAAGAATGTATACTCACCAGGACTGAGTTTTCCTTTAGTGTTACCTCAGAACTTTGAATTAGAAAAACCCAGGAAGTTTGAGGATGTAGGTGTGACTGAACACATACCCAACTTAGAATGGGACTTCTGATCTTAATAAACAAGTGTCTGCCCAGTGAAGTATTCAAGGATGAAGACTCTTTCTTAACAGCCAGTCATATCTCTGGTCCAAGGGACATGAGGTAATACTCATTATTTGTAAGCTTAAAAACACTAACTGCTGAGAGAATTAAAAATATGTTCAGTGATTCAATAAGTCCAAATGACATTTGGAATCATTTCTCTCTTTAATGAAACTTACAAGGCAAATAACTAGAGGGCTGTTGTGTCTACTTCTGATGCGCTTAGGCATACTTATTTCCGTGATAGGGACCTGTAATAAAATAGGCTGTTTTCCAAAGAACAGCCTGTGAGTTCTGGAAACGGTAAGGTAGGTGCATGTTTATTCTTAACTCATGATCTCCACTTATGTTTTGAACATTTGGTTTATTTTAGATGGCAGGATACCAAGGACAAGTCTAATAAACTGGCCCTAAATTAATTTTCTTATTGAAAGAAGATACTTTTACACCATCTGATTTTGTTGCCAGATTAATAAATGGCAGCCCATCACAAACAGCTTCAGAAATTGATTAACACTTTCGGTAAAGAGTTTCAGCTTCCTAAGTGATTATTTACTTACCGCTTTAATTCAAAAGGAACATGAATTATATTTTGTGTTGAGGTCAAGTCAGTGGGGTCAATTCTTACCTTGTTTTCCCATTTTTTTACTGCCATAAAACTTTAAAAGGAAAGCAAACCGAGAGCATTAAGAATTAAACAACCACATTTTAATCAACAAATATAAACATTTGTTTGTTAACCAGTTATTATGCAGAATAGAATTCAAAAGATAACCTGGAAAGGAACAAAGTGCAGAAATCTTTACTATAAACTTTTCTCTACTTACAGAATTTGAGGTAACAAAAGATTTACTCAGAATAAGGATTAGAATAAAAAGGTCTAGGCATATTTTAAAGCTAAAACAGATTATTTTGTACATCGTGGTCAATATAGATTATCTGACAACTCAATGAAAAAATGATTCCATGGAGGAATGGCTGAACATTAGGGAATATGATTACTTATATTCACATCGTGGGCCAGGCCTCTCTCCATTTCTTGTTCCTCCCCTGCTTCACTAGCCCTCCCTCTGCTCCGTGCTACGGAAAGTCATATTTCTGAGGGCTCTTGTCAGCTGACCTCCAGGCAGCGCTGGAAGGACAAGGCGCTGGAGGAAGACTCAAGGGCAGAAGGAGGTGTGAAGCCAGGATATTTCTCCATCTCTGGCTCAGCCGGTGTCATCATATCATGGGTGGTGGCTTTGTGCCTGCCATGGCTTCATTTTCCACAACCCCGTGGTGGTCCTAGCTCTTGCCAGGCACCTCCCTCTGTGGTCCCAGCTCCTGAGGGATGACCCCAGCTTCTGGACTAAGGGAACCACAGCTTTTCATAGCCCTTTGTGGTAACAGATTCCTTTCATTTGGCTTCTCTTTTATCACTTTTGTATGTCCATTTCCTCTGTTAAATGCCTTCTGTTCAAACACCTGAAATGGTTTCTGATTTTTTTTCCTATTATTGGGTCCTGACTGATACATATTAGAACCATTAGCTTTGTTCCCTCTCCAACTTACATGGGAAGTTTTCCATAAGAATCTGTCCTAAGCCAATGAAAAATCACTCAAACCACAATCAATACCCACTTTCTGCAATACGAGTGAATACAGCCTGTGTTTTGTCAAGTACTGGGACTTTCCTTGCTAGGGGCAAATAGGACTCTGTCTGCCACTGTTATCAGCAATCACTGTGGACACAGCTGAGAGTCATCTTCAGAGGTCACTTGTGTTGTATGACTAAGTGCAACAACAAGAAAAGTATAAACAGAAAATTTGTTTCAAGAGGAAATACAGTCATCACATGGAGAACACTGAAAAAAGTTTCTGAAAACATAGGAACATAAGACAGCACCAGAAAGTTTCTTTCTTGTTGAATCAATACATTTTTCTGAAATTAAAATCCTTCAGGGTTTCCAGATATTTCAAGAGCATCAAAAATCTGATTCATCAACAAACAACTTCTACCTTCTGGGCTAGAATGCACCCCCCTGGAATGGTTATTTTCGGAAGTACAGTTCCTTGGTGAGCATGGAGACAACACATGGTATTTGCTTCTTCTCATGGAAGAGAGGGTCATCAGAATGAGACTGAAAGTGCCTGGCCACCCTGTTGTTCACTCTGGTGAGGATCTGCAAGATCTCCAGGCTTTTTCCATGCTCATTCAGGATGGAGCAGAGGGCCTGCACAAACCAGGAGCCGCTTCCGGGGCTCCTCCATGAGTAATAGCCTTCAGAGGGAGAGAAAGGAGAAGAGAGTATCAGTGCCCTGGCTGCTGCTCCACTCACTGAGAACTTCTCCCAACCCCAGGTCAGAGAATGAATCCCATACTGAGAATGGGCTCTCAGCGTTTGGGGCCTTCACACCTGCTTTTCTGAAATTATTTCACTCAACTCTGCCTGGAAGTCGCTAATGAGAATGATGTGATGTCAATGTGCTCAGAGAGCAAACAGCTTAGCTTTAGAGGGTTGTGTGAAGATGCTCAACAAGTGCTCCGCTGCTCCAGCACGGACACCCACCAGCTTCGTGAGTGAGCGCAGACAAGTCGGCACAAGGAGCTTTCCAAAGGGAAGGCTGGAGAACCACCCCCAAACTCTAGAACGCCTCCCCGCCCTCTGGGGTGAGTGCCACTTTCTGATCCAAGCTTCAAGAGAGGGATTTGCAGGGGACATTGAGGAATTTTGAGATGTGTTCCTGTCTCATTCAAGGGACACAGAATGAGAGCCTATCTCCTGTTGAAGAAATCTGGAAGTGAGAGGGGATGAATGATCAAGAGCCTTAGGGGTACATTCAGGAGGGCCCACTGCCATGGAAGGGCTGGCACCCTAAGAGCAAGGGGTGTTTCTCATGGGCAACTCATGGCAGAAAAAGCCGGCTTCAGTTTGCCCTGGGTCCTGTCCAACGGGATCTCTTGAAGGGACAAGGAGTCCTCAGCAGAAGGAGCTAGACAAGTACCTTAGAGGATGCTCAGGAGATAAGGGACCCCAGTGCACAACCAGGAATGAAGAAGCAAATCCAAGGGCCGGCGGGGGTGGGGGGCAGGGCCCAGGGAACCCAGGGGCTCATGAAAGTGTCCAAGAGGAAAGCACCCAGCTTTGACCACCTCACTGGTCCAGAGCACAAGGAACCAGGCGACCATGGGACCAAGGTCTTACCCGTAACTCACTTCCCTCCATCCCTGCCTCCCTCCCGACTTTACCATGGGAGAATCTACAAAGGGATCTGGCAAGTGGGTAAGGAGGCAAGAGAGGTGAAGGATCAAGTCCTCCTATGACCTTAGCCCTGTAGCAGGGCTCACCTGGGATTGGGAAAAATTTAAAGCCAAGCCAGGTTCAGGGTTTTAAGTCACTATTTCAGTCTAAACATTCTGGTTACAGTACTGTGACTGAGTGTGACTTCGGAAGTGACCACAGTATTGTCTAATGTCTTAGCATGAGCAGCAAAGCCATGGCCCTCCTGGTTGTTCATTCAGGGCCAAGAGAAGATTCTACTACCCCCATCCCCTCAACTGAAAGGCCAGCGTGCAACAAAATAGAGTTGTATCTGGTTTACATGAGGAGCTGTTCTTCCTCCTACTGCCAATTGGTCACACTAGTTTGATGATAATTGGGTCATTGTCCTTGTCATTTACAGCAACCAGTTACTAAATAAATGTACAATAAAAAGAAACAACCTATTTGTGTAAAGTGATTGAGGTACACTAAGAAATTCTTTCCTGTAGCATGTATACTGGTAACTATAGCATGAGGATTCAAGCTCTGTGGTGCTATAGTACAACAATGCATTGCGTTTGTAGAGGGGGTAACATAAGTTATCTCATTCAATATAATACCCTGGTGAGGCTGGACAAGTACCACAGTCTCCATTTCATTACTGCCCTTGAGTTTGTGTCCTCTAACCACTGTCCTATGTTATCTGCAGGGAACCATTTGAAAAATGCAAATCTCATCCTGTGACTCTCCCCCCTAAAATAGTTTCCTATTACTCCTTTATCACAGTGAAGTGCAGGCTGCCTAGCAAAGCACATGATGGGGCACCCTGCCTACCTGTCCAGGTTTGAGCCATGCCAGGCCTTGCCATATCCTGTGCTATGGACTGAATGTGTCCCCAAAATTCAAGTGCTGAAGCCCCAACCTCCAGTGGGACTGAATTTGGAGACAGGGCCTTTATGAAGGTATAAAGTTAAAATCTGGGGTGAGTGCCACTTTCTGATCCAAGCTTCAAGAGAGGGATTTGCAGGGGACATTGAGGAATTTTGAGATGTGTTCCTGTCTCATTCAAGGGACACAGAATGAGAGCCTATCTCCTGTTGAAGAAATCTGGAAGTGAGAGGGGATGAATGATCAAGTGCCTTAGGGGTACATTCAGGAGGGCCCACTGCCATGGAAGGGCTGGCACCCTAAGAGCAAGGGGTGTTTCTCATGGGCAACTCATGGCAGAAAAAGCCGGCTTCAGTTTGCCCTGGGTCCTGTCCAACGGGATCTCTTGAAGGGACAAGGAGTCCTCAGCAGAAGGAGCTAGACAAGTACCTTAGAGGATGCTCAGGAGATAAGGGACCCCAGTGCACAACCAGGAATGAAGAAGCAAATCCAAGGGCCGGCGGGGGTGGGGGGCAGGGCCCAGGGAACCCAGGGGCTCATGAAAGTGTCCAAGAGGAAAGCACCCAGCTTTGACCACCTCACTGGTCCAGAGCACAAGGAACCAGGCGACCATGGGACCAAGGTCTTACCCGTAACTCACTTCCCTCCATCCCTGCCTCCCTCCCGACTTTACCATGGGAGAATCTACAAAGGGATCTGGCAAGTGGGTAAGGAGGCAAGAGAGGTGAAGGATCAAGTCCTCCTATGACCTTAGCCCTGTAGCAGGGCTCACCTGGGATTGGGAAAAATTTAAAGCCAAGCCAGGTTCAGGGTTTTAAGTCACTATTTCAGTCTAAACATTCTGGTTACAGTACTGTGACTGAGTGTGACTTCGGAAGTGACCACAGTATTGTCTAATGTCTTAGCATGAGCAGCAAAGCCATGGCCCTCCTGGTTGTTCATTCAGGGCCAAGAGAAGATTCTACTACCCCCATCCCCTCAACTGAAAGGCCAGCGTGCAACAAAATAGAGTTGTATCTGGTTTACATGAGGAGCTGTTCTTCCTCCTACTGCCAATTGGTCACACTAGTTTGATGATAATTGGGTCATTGTCCTTGTCATTTACAGCAACCAGTTACTAAATAAATGTACAATAAAAAGAAACAACCTATTTGTGTAAAGTGATTGAGGTACACTAAGAAATTCTTTCCTGTAGCATGTATACTGGTAACTATAGCATGAGGATTCAAGCTCTGTGGTGCTATAGTACAACAATGCATTGCGTTTGTAGAGGGGGTAACATAAGTTATCTCATTCAATATAATACCCTGGTGAGGCTGGACAAGTACCACAGTCTCCATTTCATTACTGCCCTTGAGTTTGTGTCCTCTAACCACTGTCCTATGTTATCTGCAGGGAACCATTTGAAAAATGCAAATCTCATCCTGTGACTCTCCCCCCTAAAATAGTTTCCTATTACTCCTTTATCACAGTGAAGTGCAGGCTGCTTAGCAAAGCACATGATGGGGCACCCTGCCTACCTGTCCAGGTTTGAGCCATGCCAGGCCTTGCCATATCCTGTGCTATGGACTGAATGTGTCCCCAAAATTCAAGTGCTGAAGCCCCAACCTCCAGTGGGACTGAATTTGGAGACAGGGCCTTTATGAAGGTATAAAGTTAAATGAAGTCATAGGGGTGGGGCCCTGACCCAAAGGAATTAGTGTCCTTATATGAGAAGAGACACCAGAGAGCGCCCTCCCCTCTTCCTGTCTTCTCTCTGCCATGCGAGGACAAAGCTAGAGGCAGCTGTCCACAAGCCAAGCAGGCCTCACCAGAAACCAAATGGCTGGCACCTTGATCCTGGACTATCCAGCCTCCAGAGCTGTGAGGAATAAATTTCTGCCTCTGCATGTGGTATTTCATTACAGCAATCCCAGCATGCTAACACAGCCTGTGGTCCAGCCTCGTGAGTATTGCCAGGGCCCTTGGGACTCTGTCTGGTAAGCCATCTTTCTCATCCCCTTGTTTGATTTTCCAAGACTTAGTTACAGGTCTTTTGCAGGAAAGCTTCTCTCACCTGCCTCCCCACAGTTTTACTCTTCCTCCTTTACTTCCTCGAGGCCCTGCTCAAAGGGCCTAGAACTGTGCTAGTCTTTGTTTACACAGATATGTGCCCCCCATTGCAGTGCTTACCTCTCAGGAGCAGGAAGACAAAATCCCTTTTTCACATGATTCTTAACTTTTGTGAAGTTATCATTGTCACAAAATCTCATTTGTAGATCCTGCCAAAGCAGGGGTTTTCCAAATACACCGACCTATTTACTGTGACCAATACCTTTGTATCAAGTATTTGACAAACTACTATTGCAGCTGGGAGAATTCTAACTCAGTGATGCATTTTACCTAAAACAAAGGAACGGCCTTCCCTCAACTAAGGCAAACACAGAGCTTGACAAATAATGGCAGGCTTGCTTATTACTGGAATTTTCTGGTATCTGCTTACAGATTGCAGTGTAAAAGAATCCTGGTCTGAGCTGTTGTGTGCTATATAATCTCTGTGTGACCTTGGGCACATCACTGAAGCTTACCCAAGCTCAACTTTTCTCCATCTATAAAATTAGGACAGCAATAGCATCTTTCTTAACTTCGTACACAATCATTATAAAATTATTTAATATAAAAGACATGAAAAACACTCCCTAAGTTGTAAAGTGCTGTAGAAATGGTTTATCTTATAATTACCAGTAATAGTAATAATAAGGGAGAGAAGTCAGCTTTCTTGGAGAGAAAAGTGAATACATCCCCATGGTAGGCAGAAAAATGGCGCCCAGGGATGTCCATGCCTAACCCTGGAACCTGTGAGTATGTTACTGGATGTGGCAAAAGGGACTTTGCAGATGGGATGAAGGTTGTGGAAAGGGGTGGGGAGATTATTCTGGGTTATCCAGGTGGGCCCTGCCTAATCACAGGAGTCCCTCAAAGAGGCTGTGCTCAGAAAGAGCGAAGTGAGGACAGAAGAGGGGTCGGAGAGATGCAAGGCTGCTGGCTTTAAAGCTGGAGGAAGGAGGCCACAGAGCAAGGAATGCGGGTGGTTCTAATGTGCTGGAAAAAGCAAGATGTGGACTTTCCCTCCTAGAGCCTCCAGAAGGAATGTAGCCTTGCCAACCATTTGGAATTCTGACCTGCAGAATTCTATGATAATACATTTGTATGTTTAAAGCCACTGCGTTTGTGGTAATTTATCACTGCAGCAATAGGACATGAAAACAGCCCAAGCCTTCATTTTGATGCTGGAATGGCAGGGTCCAGTTAGCAGACAATGGCCTTGATACCTGGAACTGTGGAATAGGCGAAGAGGAAGTCAGCTTCAACTGGGACCTTGTATCGAGGATTGGCGTCCGTTTCATTGATAGGCCCCGAGTCAGCCTGGATCCCATCATCGAGCTCTGTGCCCCGGCAAGCCTAGGTATCAAAACGGAGATCACTTTGCGGAGTTGGAACAGAGACATGTATCCTGTTCACTGCTCTGTTCTAGGCACCTAGTGCCTAAAACTGAGCTTGGCATGTGCTGGCAGCTCAATGATAATCTGATGAAGTAATAAGTGAATGAATGTTGTGTCAAATTAGTAAACAAAGCAAATAGAAGTACTGTAAAGTCTTAAAGAAACCCTCATAATTTGCCATCTGACGCAAGTACCTATGCCAAACTTAGAGACAGAAATGTGAGTACCCCAAATGAAACATGTGCACATAAAGTTGTTCAATGATACAATCGGAATCACTCTGTCATTTTTTCCCCATTTTCCATTGTATTGTCTTTGGAAAGTGATTACCTGAATGAAGAAGAGTTTGGGTTTCTCTAAAAGGGTTTTGCATCTATCCCCCCGAAAATGGGCTGTCAAGTTCTTTATTGCTGTCACACCATCCGTTCCATAAATTAAATTTTCCTCTCCATGGCTTAGTAAGACACAGGCGAAGCAAGCTGACTTTCTGTGGTCCTCTTCAGAAGCTGCAAGCAAGTGATGTGAACATGGAAAAAGTTAAAACCTAAGTCCTGTGTGAGTCCTCATAGATAGCAGAGTATTCCCTGCGGGCCTGGAGCTGCCACGGACTGCTGGAGATGGGAGAAGCACCTCTCTGGAGGACAGAGAGAGGATTCTAGAATTCTCTCTCAGTCTGACACCAGAATGAGGCTGCCCCATGAGGAAGGGAGCCCTAAACTTGGGAGGGGTTCAGGCAGCAGCTGAGAGGCAGCATACTGGGGTGCCCAAGAGCATGTGACCCCACTGTAGGTTAGGTCTGTGACACTGGGCATGTTACTTCACCATTTTGTGCCTTGGTTTCCTTATCTGTAAAATGGATATACTAGTACCTATTAAATGAGTTACTATTTATAAAGCAGCCCACGTAGTAAGTGCCGTGCAAGTAACTGTTAAAGAAAATAAAACATCATGCTAAGTGAAATAAGCTAGTCATTGAAGGACAAATATTTTGTGACTTCCCTCGTGAGGTACCTAGAGTAATCAAGTTCGCAGACGCAGAAAGTAGACTGGTGGCTGCCAGGGGGAGGGGAGGGAGAAATGGGCAGGTGGTGGTTCAATGGGGATGGAGTTGCAGTTTGGCAAGATAGAAAGATTCTAGAGATGGAGGGCAGGCATGGCTGCCCAACCATCTGAATGCCCCTAATGTCACTGAGCTATACATTTAGAAATGGTTAAGATGGTGCATGTTGTGTTGTATATTTTACCGCACTTTAAAAAGCAAACAAATAAAATTCCAAAAAAGGAAAAAAACAATGCTAGATTGGCTGTCAGTTTAGGATACTGAGGAGAGGTTGGTTAAACTCAAACTCATCTCAAGTTCAGAGATTCCTATTAGATAAACAGTTAGCTAGCTAGCTAATTAATATAACCTACTCTTTCTTGAATAAGATTTAGATTCTCCTGTGCAGACAGTGATCTTGGTACTTAATCCCTGGCCCTCTGAAGGCCTCATTTATCTATATTTCACTGATAAAAAAAATGGGATCTTGGAGAGGCCCCATAACTTTGCCCAAAGTAGGCACAACTTCTTAGAGCCTCAGAGCCATGCTTTACACCCAGGGAGTCGCAAAGCCCGGCTGTCTCCTCAGTTCCAGACAGACAAAGAGGGGTGGCCTCTCCCATTCTGGTCCTGTGCCCCCTTTGCATTAACCTGTACAGTGACATTGTATTTGCTTTGACAATAGAGGCACAAGGTGATGGACTTCTTTCACCCCTTTAGCTTGTTTTTTGATCAGATGAATTAAGGCAGAGTTGGAAATCAGGAGCTTTGCCCACACTGGAACCTACTACACGTAACAGTAGAGAAAAATAACTGCTTTGCTATTTTGATAGGACAAGAAATGAGAATTCTGTGATTGAGACATGCTCTGGGCTCAGGTGGAATATGACTCACTGTTCATAAGAACAGAAATGACATTTGGGACAAGCCCTTACATCTGTACAGGCTGTCACCCTTCCCAAAGCACACTCACAAACCTCTTGGCTAAGCCTCACTCTGACCACAGAAACAGGAGGAGCTGGCATCATGATCTGCATTTCAGGAGAGCAAAGAATGAGGAGGACGCAGTTGCCATGCCTCGGTTGCCCAGCTGTTAGAACTGGGATAGACCCCAAACTTGGGCTCCTAATTTCCAGTCTGCTCTACCACGTGGCTACTAGGGTACAGAAGGTCAGCTTTTAAGATTCATGTTTGAAGAAACAAGAAAAGAGGCCTAGTTTTTAAAAATATAAGAGAGGGAAATATAAGAGATGGTGAAGCTCTTTTTCTTCGTTAGTTGTGTAGTTCAGAAAAGCAGCAGTGATTTGAACTCTGTGCCTGTCTGCTGCCTGTGAGTCACTATCTAATCACTTTCAAACACTTGCCCTAAATGCCAAAGTCCCCTTGGTGGCAGCCTCTAGACAGTGGTGTGACACAAAACACAGTTGTTCTAGAGCCAGAACAAAGCTTGAGTTTCAGGTCTGCCTCTACTAACTGTACCTTTCAGGTCTTTCTCTACTAACTGTGCCTTCCGGATGTCCTTTACGCTGTCTAAAGCTCTGTCCCACATTTATGAATGGGACATGATAATATTCTGCTGGCCAGTACTGCAAGGGTTGTGTTAAAGATCTAATGAAACGCTTTTGTGAATGTACTGTTTAAAAAATAAGGCAGTTCTGAAGTATATGGGGATTATTATCCTCTGTCTGCCACAAGGGAAAAGATTACACTTAAACTCCATTCTGGGAAGAATGCCACAGATTTGCTACTTTCCTAGGAATTAGCCTTTTGAAATTGAGACTGTCCTGTAGGTACTGAACCTATTTCTCTTGCCATCATGCAAGCTGACTTCATCTTTTTAGGGAGTGATCTAAGCTTCCTGAAAGAGACCTGCCCTTTCCTGGAGACAGAGCTGGAGTAGCCCGGAGGAAGGAAAGGCTGCCCACGCTGAAATCCCTCTGTCCTGCGAAGGTGTCCAAGACCAGCTGGGGCCCCGCGCATCTGCGGAGCAGGAAGGAGACTGCGGGAGGAGGCAGGCAGGCACCTTGTCTCAGCAGATCTTGCATCTTGGCACACGAGCAGTCATTATGGACAACCACATCAAAACCCAGGTTTCGGAAACACTTGAAAAGGGCCTCGGCATCTTTGTCCGTTCCGTTTCGGACGTCCATACCTGTGGGAAGCAAGCACCCAGCCCACGATGAGCAGTCCTTGGCCGAGTACTGCCCTCCGACATCAAGGGCAGCCTCGCTGGCTCTGGTGAAAATGCTGCCAAGGTTATAAGTGAAATGAGCAACTGAAGTAAGAAATAAACTCAAAGGACAGCATACCTCAGCTCACCCGCAGAAGGGGCTACTCTCCACTCCAGTCAAGGCTACGCTCTGCTCCAGTCAAGGCTAATCAAGAATCTCCTTGACTCTTAGCCATTTGGTGCAGGTCCTGCCCTGGCAATGCACCTGGAGGGCCCTGAGACTGACAATTACCAACTCCCTGCACCCCCTTCCCCTGGACACTCAAATACCACCTTCCACAGGCTGTCTGCCACCACAGATGACATGGTGTTTTCCCAATGAAAATCTGATACAAGTCTTAACACAAGATGAAGAGAATTGAAGCAAGCAGGAGAGGCTGGCCCATGCCCATCCCACCTACCTGTTTCTTTGTTGAAGTTCTTGTTGTTTATTATGATGCATTTTCCCACCTTCTCAAAATTCATGTTATACTGATATGCAGGCTCTTGGTCACGGGTGGTCTTGACTGAGCTCCCTGAGCCATTTTTCTTTTTCCTATTGGGGAAATAAAAAGCCAGTCAGGGGTTGTGGGAGATGTTTGGACAGTAATGGCTTCTTGATTTTACTACTAGCATGGAAGGGGTGCCCAAGAAGACTGCAATATCTGCAAAGAAAGGACCTGGGGTGGACAGATGGCTCTGTTTAATTATCACAGTTAAAAGGAACAGGATCTCCTGTTTAATTCCATTGCATGCTAGAGAAATGCAAATTAAAATCATAATACGATGCCAGCGCACACTCACCAGAATGGCTACAACGTGTCAGGGACCATGTCTAGCACCTGGAGTTAATCATACATAGCTAGTGGGAACCTACTTTGTACATCCATTGTGGAGAAGCAGCACAGTCTACTAAAACTGAGCTTAAACCTATCTTACGACAGAGCAGTTCTGCTCCTAGGCATATATATCTCAAAAGAGAGATCCATGTATGCACAGTTAGCACTGTTCAGCAAGAGTCCCAAACAGGAAACGGTCTGAATGTCCATTTACAGCAGAATGGATCAACTGCTGGATGTCCATATAATGAAATGCCATATGACAATGAGAATGAGCACCATGACAACACGAAGCCCTATAAACGAATCTTACAAAAAACTGAGAAAGAGTTCATTAAAAGAACCCATATGCAGAAAACTTAGATATGATATATTAGAAGTCAGGAGGAGGTTTTCTCTATGGTGGGAGGGTTAGGGGCTGAAAGGGACCTAAGGACTTTCTCAGATGCTGTTCATATTTTGTTCTTGATATGGGTGTTGTCTACATGCGTGTGTCAGTTATTGAAAATTATGAAGTGTGTGCTCTTTTCTATGTGGAATTACGATTCAATGAACATTTATATTAAAAGTGGGAGAAAAGGAACAGTGGTTTAAAAGAGAAAATAGCCCCCTTCCAATATCCAGACTCTGACCATCCAGCTTACCAAAAGTCTGGCATGTAGTTGCTGAGGCTGGAACATGGGGCCTCACTTGGAGGGAGGACAGAGAAAAAAAACGTTACATGCAAGTGGACAGCAGCCTTGTTAGTCATTTACTTGAATGTAAGCTCCATGACAGAAGAGACTTTTTATGTGTTCTGAAAAATCCTGAATTCCCAATACCTAGAACAATGCTTGACACCTAAGTTGCTCAATGAATATTTTTTATAAACTACAGACCAATATCTCTTATGAACATGATGCAAAAATCCTTAACAAAAATATTAGCAAGTCAAATCTGGCAATCTATAGATAAGGTTATACACCATGAGCAGGTGTTACTGATCCCAGGAATATAAGGTTGGTTTAACATCCAAAAATCAGTTAATGTAAGCCAACATATTAGTAGAATCAAGGACAAAATCATATGATCAACTCAGTTGATGCACAAAAAAGCATTTGACAGGCTCCAATGCCATGTTAGGATAAAAATACAGCATAAACTAGGACTCCACCTGAAAAGGGCATCTGTGAGACACTCACAGCTAAGATCCTGTTTAGTAATGAAAGACTGAATGCTTTCCCCTAAGATCAGGAGCAAGTCACGTAAGTCTGTTCTTGCCACTTGTATTAGACATTGTACAAGAGGTTCTAGTCAGGGCAGCTGGGTTTTAGAAGAGTGTTATATGAATGAACAAAATCAAGTTTTATCCCCTTGTTTTATGGATCTGGAAACTGAGGAGAACAGGAGGGTGGGGTTGTCCAAGGCCGCCCAAGTGGGGTGCTCACCTAGGCCTCAGACCTCCATGGTGGCTTCTAGAGCCCTGGGCCCCTGCGTGTTTGTGCGGATGACTTGTCTGCCATTCTCCAGTTGGAAGAGGTACAATGAAAGTGAAAATTAAGCTTGTTAACCTGACAAATGCGGGTCCAAGGGAATTTCACTCTGAATTTTCATTGAGTCTTATTTTTGGAGTTTCTCAGAGCACCTGGAAGGACATGGCCTTTCCTACTTGGTCCAGATTACAGATCAGCTCCGTACACTGAGTCTTCAGACTCCATATTGCTATTTTTCAACTTCATTTATTTTTCAGTTTTATCTTCCACTTTTATGAAGCCCAATTTCTTCCATGATATCACGTCATTTTTTTTTCTTTTTTTCTCCCCTAGCCCAGCCCAGCCCAGTCCTCATCATATCATTTTTCAAAGAGAAAAATGTCCTGCCTCTGTTCTGCTCCCTTCTCTATCTCCTTCCTAGACTCTCCCTCCCTCTAGTTTCTCTCTGTTTCCGGGGATGACTGGGGCCAGGGAGTCTCTGCCCTTCAAAGCAACAACTTCCTCTTCTGCAAAGCAGAGCCTTCTGTGACTGTCACGAGATGGGAGGGTCAGGGCAGCAGGTACTACCATGGAGTCTTCTCACACTCCCAGGCCTCTCTAAGGCTCAGACGAGACAAATATCAGCAAGATGAGTTCGTTTCTGTACTGTACAGGGTCATGCCATGCAGAGAGGAGTAAGATTTACTTCCTGATTGCTCCCTAGTCGGTGACCCCTACTGATAGTGTCTTCTGTGCACATTCAAATATCTGCCCACAGTCTTTCACATGCACACAAAATCTTCCTCAATTGATGCCTCTGAGCTTAAGTGGAGGGGGCATAAATCATACCCATTTTATAGGTATACATTTGTCATTGCTTACTAAGGGCCAGGACCTTGTGACAACTCTCACCTGCATTTTCTCATGGACTCCTGACAGGTCTTAAGCTAATTTCAGGCATTCAAAGACCCTAATAAGAGTAGCATTAAGTTTGGCAGGCTGGAGATCTTTGAGAGATAAAATGCTACTTGTATTTTCTGTACTATTGATTATTTCAAACAAGCTGTACAACAATATCCAAGTAATAAACAAGCTGCGGTTTTTTTAAAAGCTGCCATTAACTCCTTCTCAATAACGGGCAAAACCAAACCAGCAAGCATCTTTTATGAGAAGACAGGCTTGGAATTAAGTTACACAAAAAAGAAAAGGAAACCACTTCTATCAGAATACAATTTGGAAAATTAACTGGTTAAAAGAAAAAAAAGGAACGCAAAAGCAGAAAAAGAAAATACTTTCCATGATTATGAAAAGAATCTTAAATTCAAGAAATGTGATTCTTACCCCTGGTAAGTATCTCAAAAGGGAGTTAATGACAATTTCCCCTACCTATCCCGCCCCTAAATTGAACTCTTATTTTTAAAAAAGAACTGAATATCTACTTCCTCTTTCTGGATTTGAGTCAGTCACTATTAATATTTGCTTCTAACCAAAATAGCTTTTTTTGTTAAACCCAGGTCTTCCTGGACCACATGCGTATTAAAGAGCAATTACGAATTCATCTTCCTAAGGGGCGCTAGCCTGGGGAAAACCCCATCTGCAGTTTAACTTTGAGGAAGCAAACCTCCATGATTAGTTTAAAGCTTTGCACTAGAGAGACAAATAAGAGGAAATGATTGTTGAGAAAGCATCAGTGAGAAAAAGCCAGGGGAAAAAAAATGGACTAAAGTCCAGTGCACAGTCCACAAGAACCAGAGTCTAAGAGATTAGAGTCTGCCTCCTAATAGTTGTGAGACTTTGGGGCACCTCTTCTGGGGTGCACCTTTCTGGTACCTTCTTCGAATCTCCCTTTCAGCCCCACTGCCCCTTCCAGACTCCGGTGAGAGCCGGGCCATTACTTCCATTTTGCCAATTCTTGCTGCAAGGCTGCCACAGAGATACTAAACGTGGCCTTACATTTAGGAACTGATTGCTGAGAGGCAACTCTATTAGGGTAGCCACCCATCGCTGATTCTGCAGGAACACAGGACAATCGTTTTGCTTGACTATTTCTGTTGTGTGTGACACCTGATACTATTTGCAAACACTTTTGAACGGACAAGTTTTGTCCCGTTTTTCCCCTGCCACTCTGATTTCCAATTCTTAATAGTAAGCCTCAGTTAAAAACCCTGGCTGGCTGACATACGTTTATTCAATTAGCCACTCACTCCCATAATGGCAAGCAGGACAGGTAAAAATATCTGGCTCAGTCTCTACTTCCTGGCTGGCCCATTAAGAGGAGGGTGTTTCACCAAAATCACACAGGGTTGTAAGAAAGAATGAGGAAACTATGTCCATATGTGGGGTGATTTCTAGTAAGTGGTGTTAGTTTGGAACTAAACGGGCAGAACAATGAGAAGAGTTTGCCACCTTCTGGAAAAAAATTAGGGGAAAATATCATACCTTATATTTGCCTGTATTTACATAAAGAGACTCTTGAAGGATGATTTAATGGATAAATCCATGGGTCCCGGGGCTGGACTGTGTGGGTTTGATACACTGCTCGGTCACGCAGGCTGAGCAATCATGGGCAAGTTACTTAACCTCACTTGTATAGAATTCGGAAAATTAATGGGTTTAAAAAAAAAAAAGGAACGCAAAAGCAGAAAAAGAAAACACTTCCCATGAAAAGAACAAAATTACAGGATCCACCTCAGAGCATGTAAATTAGTTAAGATTCACAAGGCACAAGAACGGTGTGTGGCACATGGAAGTGGTAAATAAATGTCATTATTATTACTAATATTATTCATTTATAACATAAATATTAGTTATCTGTGTAGGGAGCTAGGAGCCGGGCAGCAAGAAGGAGGAATTTTGACTATCTTCTTTAGATACGTGAGTATGTGAATAAGTTAATTATTCAAAAGATTAAGATAAAAATTATTATTTAATAGTTAAAAATCACTTCTGCAAATGGATTTCAGATCTGGCCCGTTGTGAAATTACTAGATTCATATTTCTTGAGATAAATGTTGAAAGGGCTCCCCAGACACCCCGCTTTTGTTTTTCACTGTGACTTTTACCTCTCTCCCCAGCCTTTTCACCTTGCTCCTCTGTGTCAATAATAAGAAAACAATAATAAATACCCTTATAATAATTACTATGTTTTGCATCCTCATCGCTTTATATGTGTATTATCTCATGTGACCTTTACAACTCTGTAAGGCATTAACCTCATTTCATAGAAAAAAGTTACATTAGCTTGCCCAAGATCACAAAGCCAGACGAGACAGAGCCCAGGTTTATTCTGAGGTCGGACTCGGAGTCCCCTATACCGCATTTCTTACCTCTGTTAAAACTTCAGATTCCTGCGCCTTGCACTAGACCTAGAGAATCCGGTCTCGGTGTTTCCCTGGAGATGCTCACCCCCTCTGAAGTCTGAGGGCTTCAGCACTAGCTTGCCTGGCCACTGCCTGGGTCCTCTTGGCTCCGACCTTTCCTTGCTGTCTCTACTCTCGTTTCAAGCCCCTTGGCTGCGTCCATAACCTGTGGCAGCAGAGGTCCCACCTGGCCACTCCTCCCACCAGCTCCCCCAACCTATCAAACCTCACTCTCCGTGTGGGTGCAGAACTACAGAATCCTTGATTCTTGGCCAGAAGGTTGAAAAGATGTGCCTTGTGAAGCATGGCCTTGTAGAAGGCACCCCTTGGCCAGTGAGTGAGGGTATATTTAGGGTCATGTGTGAGATGGCCAACTCTGTAAAAACCTGNTTCTGCAAAGTACCGACAAGAGCCATGGAAAGACACAGCAAATAGAAGCTGGCCATGGTATTTTTAAGCCAGATCCTATCACCTGCCCATTCTACCCCACCCTCCTCCTTTCTTCTCCCTTTGCTAATTCTCTTCTGATAAACTGAGACTTTGTCTTGACCTTTTTTCATGCTGAAGACTTTGGCCGAGATTACTATGCTGAGAAGGAACACAGGATTCTTGGAACCTGCTGTTGAGTGCAAGGCTCATGATAAACTAACTAGACTAGTGAATTAAAAGTTTCAAATCCTCTTAAAAGCTCATGTGTTTCACAACTGGCAGCAGATTTTAAAAAAGAAGTGTGGCCATGAAATCACTGTGCTTGGGGTGAGGCAACAAGATGGTAACAAAGTGCAATAGCCTGGTGCAGTGACTGGGTGAGTGAGTTTAAGTGTGCACTAAAATGCAATGGACAGTTAATTTACAGGAGCAGGTTAGCCACGAGGCTTCCTAACAATCCTTACTGTTTCTTGGTGCTGCATTTCTTCACTAATATGAGCAAGTACCATTATCTTCATTTCCCAGACGCATTCAGATGAGCTCAAATCTCTGCTAGGAACACAGAAAAGGCCAGCATTGATTATCAGGAAGGAACTAGATAATCCTAACTTTGTAGGTAGACAACCATTTTTTGGAACCTCAAATTTCACAGTGCAAGGCCAACTCAGTCATTTCAACAAAGTCAAGAGGCAAAAAATCACAACCAAGCTCTGATGGTTACTTATATGAAAAGACTTCCTTGAAGAGCCTATAGCAACTCAGACCAGAAAACATTATATGATAATAATACTCTTTCTATCTTAACAAGAAGTGAAAAAACCTCTGGAAGTACAAGATGAATTTTATAATCCACTCTGGTGCCCTGGAGTGGATAAATACAGGTTTTATTCTCTTACAGATCCCCCAGGCTTCTCCAAACACAAATTATACCTTTCTAAATTTGGAAAGGAATATATAAGCATGCAAACCCACTATTATTTATTTTCTGAAGCATCTCCATGAATAGGATTCCCAGTAGCTCTGTCTGTTTGCAGACATTCATCAGCATGAAAGTAAACACACCACCGGGCACACATTTCCCCAGGGCTGTTTCATTTGGAACGAGAGCTCTGGTTTTCGTAGCTGCTTTGTCTAAATATTTTTGGGGTGATTCAATGCATGGTTTCAACATTTCAACAGAGGGCATCCCCAGCAGTCCTGACATACCAAGGCACAGAGCAAGACAGAGAGGAGAGGACAGGGTGAAGGTAGATACCTTGCATCTCCATCCAAAAGCAGCCCCCTTTGCATCAGAAACAGGTTCTGCCCTGCGACAATGGGCAGCGGGTTCCCTTCTTCTCTGTAATAATAAAAACTCAACATGCTCAGCTCAGCAGGGAACAGAAGACTGGCACAGCCCGCCTGGCCCTGAAGGCTGTGACTGAATCAGCAGTGAACTGCAACGCTGGAGTTTTCCACAGCACCATTCATTCTGGGGCTGGGAAAGTCACACTGACCTCCCTCTTTCTGCTGACCAGCAGAAATGCTCAGGCTCCACATTGCTGCAGCCCCCACCCCCCAGCTCCCCAGGGACAGCTCCCTAGAGAAAAGGTGACTTTCTAGGAGCACAGGGTCCAAAAAGAAAAAAACAACCCCAAACCCCCCACAAATTTCCACAAAGGTGCATCCACTAGCACCATGTTTGAGAGTGAAAAGCTGGAAACAATAGCGGAATGGCTAAGCAAGAGAATGAGTATCACTAGAACAAAATACTACACAGCTATTTAAAATAATGAGCATGCAGATGCAGGCAACCCACCCAAGTGTCAAAACTACAAAAGGTGGAAAGACAGCACACACAGGAATCGCGAAATACATAAAATTATTGTAAGTAAATGAAGAAAAATAGGAAGTGAGTTCGTGATGAAATCAAAGAATTCGATTTTATTAGGTTATTTTTTTCTTCAGGAGGGTGCTCAAGGCAGTAATGCAAGTAATAAAAGACCTTAGAGTCATACCAAATACCTTGGTTTTCAAATGAGGCATATAACTTTTTCAACGGCCTTGAAATAATGTGGATGATGCAGGAGTTACTACACTTCCCCATCCCACCCATCCCTTCGCAATGAGGAAAATGTGAACACATAAAACCCAAGGCGCCTATTAAGCAAATGGCTCAGCAATGCTTTTCTCAATTTCCTGGTTCAAGGTCACAGCCAATGAAAGTGTGAAATCCATGAAGGGGTGTGACGCCCCCTGCTGCCCTGGGCAAAGCTCCTCGTCATTTGCCATCCTCAGATCTGTCAGCAAGAGAGGAAAGTGGCTCTGGACATTCTTCTCTGAAACTCAGTTTGCGAAAACATGCTTACATTGGAAAAGGAAGTTGGATTAAAATAGGCTCGGGAGAGGAAGATTCCCCTCTCTCAAGCTTAGCCACCCTCGCATTGCCCTCTTTCCTCTAAAGAAAGGAGCAGAGAGACCTCTGATGATGAAAACTGACAAAAGACTTCAAAAAGATCAGCCAGGAGAAACGAAGGATTGAATTCTTTTTAAATAGCCTAAAACTGTTTAAAAAGTAGAAGATACAATGATGTCTGTATCTTGGCCAGAGGCTCCCGAATTGAGAACAGCTGACATGCCTCGGTGGCATTCTCACGCCACCACTTCACTGCTCCTCTTCACTTCCAGCTGAGTGGTGTACAAACTCACCATCACAGACGCATGCCGGCCAGAAAGCCATCAGCCCCGGCGAGCTCGGGGTTTGAACACGCAAGGCCAGGCTGCACATTTCTCACCTGTGGCCCCTTGTTCCCCTGAGAAGCAACAGGCCTTTTCATATTACTTCTCTATTACTACACTTAATTCCATACTAAGTGTTCTAAAATTTCTTTAACTATGAAAACCTGATCATTCACCTCCCTTCCTCCCTTTTTCTTTTAACCTGACAGCTTATTTTTTCTTCTCTAGAAGAGCAATAACTTAAAATAGTTGGAGGCATTCTGTACAGGCAGAAGCCATGGCTTCGAAGGGTCTAGACCTTTTGAATATGTGTGAGAGGGTGGCTTGCCTCTCCTGAGATGTCCACTCGGCCCTCTTTATCAGAAAGCCCACTGCTAGCCCTGTTGGAACACCATCCATAGCCCATCCTTCAGCTGAAGTGAAGCAGAAAGGGAGCAGTTTCAATGAAGAACTAAATCTTGGAAGAAGAAAATAACTGCCCTGATGGTAGATTAATGTGCTTGCACAGCTTGATGCCACTGCAGTTGTGGGTGACACTGATGAAAGGTGAGGAGCCCTGGACCCCAACATAGACCTGGGTCTTGGTCCTGGTTCTGCTGGGTGACCAGGGGTACAGCACTCTGCTGTCTCTCCTGTCTTAATTTTCCTTGATCATTATAGAAGGAAATTGGGTAAGTTACGTTTTAAGGAGTCTTCCAGTTTTAACATTAGCATTCTATGATTTCCTCCTCATCAGGGATGCAGTCTGATTTCTTCCTTATCAGGCAGTTCAGCAAACTGACAGTTACTTTACTTAATTCTCATAAACAATCCAGTGGACAGGTATTCATATCCCTATTATGCAGATGAGGAAACTGAGGATCAAGGACTTGCTATCATCCCTCAATGAGTGAGTGGGAGGCAGGACCAGGGTCTGTCCAACTCCACCACAGTACCATTTTAAGGGGTATCATCACCTTTCTAAATACAGCATTCTATCTTTATTACTCTTCATATATACATTTCAGAGACAGGCATTCAATATCCTGAAGTTTGGATTCAAAGTCTTCCTTTATGGGAAAGTAAACTCCCTGGGTATGTTGTAAAGTTCCTTTTATTTTAGGGGGCCCAGACCTGGCCTCTTTCAATCAATGGGTGTGACTGAACAGCTTCTTCCCCTTAGTCTGGAACATATTCTTGGGCATGAGTTAAGGTCTACCTTCTTTCTTCTTTTCTCCAGTTGCAAAACATTGCTTCTTCTGAAACCCCCCTGCATGAATGAAAAGGCAGGACACCTGCTTCTTTCTCTCTTATAATTACACAAATGCATTTTTAGAAGGACCTGTTTACATGTATCATTTACTGTTGGAGAAACTTAAGTGGAGATATGGAAGAAAGAAGATTTATAACCAAGTGGCATTTATGAAACAAAGTGTAGGACACAGAGATGATCTGATACAGAGGAAGAAGCTCATGTGATCTGAGCCAGCACCTCACAAGTGGGGAGTTCGTCCAATTTTGAAAACGAGCCTTTTCTCCTGCCCTCTTCCCTGGGGAGCTGCAAGGATAAACAAACCCCTGTGCAGGGACACATGGGGCTCCACCAATGCCCCGGGGAGATGTGAGAGTGTGTGGAATGTTTGCTAATTTTTATTTCCTTTAATACTGATCTTGAGCAGAGCTCAGAAGGGAGCCTATGATTTCACAGCTGAAGTTTTCCTGGAAAGGACGTCTTCCAGGCTGCGCAGGGCTTGAACTTATTTCTACAATGGCCCGCAGTGGTGCCCCCAGGACCAAACTCACCCTGTCCGCGGGGTCCCGCCCACTTTGCCAGAGCCGGGGCTGCATGGCTGGACCTGACCGTGATTCCCTCTGTGGCCCTGGGCCTGGCAGGCAGGCTCTTCCACTCCCCTGGCAACTCCACTTCCAACCCCTCTACCCCCAGCCTTCCCTTCGCCTCCCAGCCTCCCAGAGCTCCCAGCACAGTTTAGCAGTTGGCTTTGGTGTCCTTAGGTATTTTCTGTAGCTGTGCCTAGACATTCAATAAGAACCTGAGTTGATATCCAAGGCAGGGACCACATTGTGACCTTGAATGGCAGGTAAGCTGTGCTGGGTGCTAGGGTTATCTTGATATCAAGAGGGATCCCTCTTCAAGTTCACAGATGACACTAGGCCTTGTTCCAAAACTACAGCTTGTAATGGATGTAGACTGTGCTATCCTTATTCCTTCTAAATCATGTTCTTTAAAAAGTCCAAACAATTAACGAATTTTAAATATCTCAAATATTTTTTCCCTCGTGGTCTTCTCTGTTTTTCAAGTGCTCACCAATAATCAGCAAATGAGAAAACACTTTAATACATTTTGGGGGTTTTTAAGAAAAATAAAGATCAGTCTGGATTATTTGGGGCTCAATGTAATGGAAATAAACGAGGCTGTCCTGCCATCTAGTGGCAGTGAGACAAAAGCGTCCAACAACCCAGGGCTTGGAACTACCTAGGGCCCGAGTCCCAGCCAGGCTTGCGTGAGAGGAGGGGCGGGCTGCTCTTTCCGTTTCCCAGAATCCTTGGGGTCTCCAGGAGCAGGTGGGTGTCCTCAATTGTAGACAGGCGCTACTGCCCCCTGCACTACCTTACCTGACACCTCGGAGAAGGGAGCTGGGGGTGGGTCAGGATGGGGAAGGTGCCTGCCATCAGTGGAGGGGAGCACCCAGGGGAGCTGCCAATGCACCCCACACATCAGACCTGTGGGATACTTAGTGCCCCGCACATGGCACGGGGGACCATGCGAGGGTCTGCCATCTCCCCACACTCCACGATTTGCAGGAAACAACCCACCTCTCAGGCCGTATTCAGTGACCCAATCAGTTAGATGTTAAAAGAATAACAATCCCATTAGAATCCTTAAGGCGTGGGGGTGACAGCGGAGGGTGTAGCTGGGCCAGATGTGCCAACGGACACCTGCTCCTTGGTCAGGCCACGCTGCTCTGAATTGCACTGAGAGTCTCATCCCACTACATGTGAGGTCCCTGACACCACTGAACTCACAAGATCTCACAAGACCAAGGCAGCAGGGATGTTCAGGGGACAATGAAACGTGGCAAATGTTGGAGCAGTTCTGCACTGTGACAATAGGATAGAAATGTCATCAACCTTTTCCTAGCAAGAGGACTCAGTGGTTACTAGAGGACATGAACCTTCCCTGAGGCCCGTCACTTCCTCATGATCTCTCCCTTCTTCAGCCTCTCCCTCTTGGTCACAAAGTCCTGTTGCTTCCACATGCCAGGTACTCCTGGGGTCCGGCTACCCTTCTCCACCCACCCCGTCCACTTCCATCCACACCATCCACTCACCCAGGGAACTCAGCAGCCCCTAACTTGCTTCCTCTCCTCAGTGTGTCTTCAACACAGTAGCTCAGGGTTGAGTATGTCCTGTACATATAATTGATCAAGCCACTCCATTTCTTAGACCCTTTAATGACTTCCCTGTTCTTAGGATTGAATTCAAATCTTCAACGTGACAGGCAGACAATCCCTTCTAAAATCTGGCATCTGCCCATTTCCCCCATCTCCTCTTGTGCTGTCCCTCTGCACCCCACACTCCTGCCAGCTAAAATGATCCCCGATCATGCACACTTTCCCCTTCACCAGCCTCTGCCTCCCCATCAAGGCTCAGCACACACATCACGTCTCCAGGGGGCCTTGTTTGACCCCCAAGACCAGACCAGGTACCCTTTTTAATTTTACATTCCCACCGCACTGCTGTGCTCCTTCCTAGCACCATCTCACCTCAATTACCTGGCCCACGCCTGCCTTTCCTACAAGAATGTGAGTGTCTGAGACTGGGGTCCTGTTGATCTGGTTGGTCTTTTCTTGGCTGCAGCCCCAGGGCCAAACACAGAACCCGGCACATGAAGGCCAAAACAGAGAGGCAGGTGAATGCAGTTCAAATCCTGGCTCTGCCACTAATCAACTATGAGGCTTGGTGACAGGCATTTAACTTCTGTCATTCCTTAAGTATTTAATGAGTGAATGAGATAATGAATTAGTGACCAAAAATGGCATCTCAAGTGGTTAATTTTAAAGGTAGTGATATTTTACCAGATGAAAGAAACTTCCATCTTACTGAAGAAAAACAAATGGAAAGAACTATATAAATTTTAAGGGTACATCACAAATCTTAACTGCATTTTATACAAACTGACTGCCTCCTGGGAGGTGGCCAGTGCATCATCTAACACATGGGTGGTCAGAGGGCAGCATCTGTTCAGTGCCCAGTAAAGGCAGGCGCAATAAGCAATTAGCAGTTCACAATCTGAAAGAAAAAGATAGCATATTGCCATTGACTGTATCTCAATATCATTTAATAATTCAACGTTCATGTCTTACAACTATTTCAACTAAAATAAGCAGTTTAGAAAATGGAATTTAATTTGAATATTTTACAAGGATATTCATTGTTATTTTGATAATGAAGCTTGATACCAACATCAGCCATGCTATAAAAAATATATAAATGTAGAATGGAATGGGAGTGATGTGCCTCTCGTGACTCGGCCTCTTTCACCCTGATTAATATTATCTCCAAACACACTATCACTGTCAAGCTAGGGTCCTGTGAGAGCAAAGCAAACACTGACTCAAGGAGGTAAACACAGCACCAGGATTTGTGCCCTTTCCTTCTTCCCTTACTACACTCCTCATCTCCACCCATCCAACCATCCATCCATCCGTGAATCCATCCACCCAATAATAAGAGCTCAGAAACAACATGGTTGTCATGAAGCTGCCTAATAACACATTTAACAAATTTGAAAACTGGTATCAGACCTTTACTAATTGAAAGGAAGTCTGGTGTGGCTGACTGGCTTGACAAGGAGGATTGGCTTTGTCAACTGGAACGTACAACAGACATTGTCCATAAATGGATGAGCTACATTTTAAGCTCCAAGGTTTTAACAAAAATATATATTTTAAAGCATAGAGTTTAAAAACATTTTATCAAAAAAGGATACTGACAAATGTTTGTTAATACTATTTTAATTATCTCATCTCTGTTGGAGTATTTTGGGTTAAACAAGTTGCCACTAAGTAAAAGAGCAACAGGTTTAATCAACAACAGTTGTTTGAGAAGTTTTGATAAAGCTTTTTTGGTGTACTTCCCAGAGACTGAAAAAATAGATGTCTTGAAGGGCTAAATAACAATTCCTTTTGTAAGTCAAGTAATTTCCAATCCTCTGTTTTCAATACAATTGAAGAAGGACCCAACTGAGTTGTCATTTCTGGCACAGAACTCAAATGGAATTCGAAGAATTAGGTAACACATTATACCAAAACTCCTGTCACCCTATGCTTATTTATGGTTTCCCAGCACTTCTATTTCTTAAAATGAAAAATAGGAGAATGAGGTGACACTGAGCGCTCTTATTCTAGCAATAAGTATTATTTGTTCATTTATTCAAACTAGCTTTTTAAAAGTCCATTTATCCCAAGTTACAATTTCATTTTAATAATTATTTTGATGAATAATGACTTAAAAGTACTAATGATGTGTCAACATTAATTTTTTTCAATCCACTGCATTAACAATACTGAGGAGGTAAGGCACTGCTCTGCATCCTTGCAGCCCTACTTTTAAATGGAAAACACAGCAGAGCTGTTAGGTGAGTGGAGTTGGTACCACCTGGGTTCTAATCTCAGTTCCACCATTTATTAACCGTCTTGAGAAAGGCAAGCTATTAAACCTCTTATCAGCTCCTCCCTAGCTATTAAAAGGTGATTCCAAGAGAACCATCTCCTGGGATCATGAGGACTAATGTAATATTGAGCTGGCATGTAAAAGTTTAATAAATGAAGCTATTATTTTTGTTGTTGTTGTTAAATGTAAAGTTGAGAATTTTAAAAGTGAAGCCAAGAAAAGAAAGGTGGGAATCAGTAGACAGCCTGTTTACTTCAGTGAAGTGCTGCCCTAAAATCTCATATCCCGTGGCTCCTGGATTCTGCCTTTCAGCCAAGCCTGGTCCCAACTGGCAACAGTGGCCCAGGCACTGCCCTGAAGGAGGCTGGCTGCAAATGCACCCGTACTCCTGGGCAGCTGCCACCCAGATGCACGCCACCAAGCAGGAGACCCCCAAAGCTTGGTTTCCCCCACACCTGGGCTTGCCGCAGAGACATGGGAGTGCACACAGGGGCCCTAGTGTTGGCACACACAGCTGGCAGGATTCTGGGCAAAGCTCCCATGCTCACACAGACCCCCTTCCCAGAATGTCCCCTCCCCATGGGTGGTGGAGATGGCACAGGCATGGCAGGCTGACGTCGCCCAGAGCCCCTCTTTAACCCAGCAAGGAAGGGAACTTACCTCAGGAATGGTGGGACAAAGGAAGACCGGTCTGGCTTAGCATCTACTGTATCTTCACTGGCTGAATACCCAGCTCCCTGCTCCACAACGCAGACTTGGTCATCTGCCATCTGGAAGGAAAGGAACCAACCGGAAAATTGGTATCCAGTGGCATCACTGGCCTCGTGATATTTTAAATAATACTCATTAGGTGACTGAGTTTTAATTAAGCCTGGAGATGAGCAGTCTTGCGTATTTAGGTTCCAGGGCTACTGAACCAATAATCCATTCAAATGTCTGTGTGCTGACTCTATTTCAGACATTGTTCCGGAGACTCACTATACAGCATTGAAGAAAACAAAGTCCTTGCCCTCAGGGAGCTTCTAAACCAGCATCCATGATTTTGCTGAATATTCACTGTGCACAAGAAGCTGTGGAAGGTCCATCAAAGTTTGTAACAAGAAACTCCCCTTAAATTTCTGACAAGTTATTAGCTGCTCATCCTTTGCTTGGCATTGCTCAAACCCAGTTCAAAAACAGCAGCAACCTGGAATGTACAGCTTTTTTTCTGTTTCAGATGGTTTTACATGGGTTTATCAAAATAAATTATATCAAATTATTTTTCTGCTCAAGAACCTTCAAGAGATCCCTATGATCTAAAATTTCAAATCTACACTCATCTTCTTAGATCTTAAGGTACGTCATTATCTAGTACTAGAGTCAGCAAACTATGACCCATCATGTTTTTGTACATTGTTTTACTAGAACACAGCCATGCCCATTCCTTTACACATTGTCGAGGGCTGCTTTCTCTGCACAGCCAGAGTTGAGGAGCTGTGCCAGAGACCATGTGGTCCAAAAAGCTTAAATATTTGCTACCTGACCCTATAAAAGGTGTGCCAACCTCTGATCTTAGGATAACTATCAGCCCATAGGATCCTCTACTAACCTACTACCCCCTCTACTCTGAGAAGTCAGTATAACAATAAGAATTGAACTCATATGTATTATTCCCTGTGCTAATTGTTTTATAAGCATTATTTTATTTAATACTCTCGATAATGCTGTTGTTAGATTAGCCCTATGATCACTACCTTTTGACAGATGAGGAAGCTGAACCTAAAAAAAAGGTTAACTTATCCTGAGCTGTGTAACTAATAAATAGTAGGCCTTGGAGCTGCAGCCAGCAAAGCACTCCAGAGCCCACTCCTCACACCATCCAGCCTTCCAGATCCAAGGTGTCCTCAGGCACACTGTACTCATTTCAGGCTCTTTCAGGGCTCATGGTTCTCCCTTTCTGGAAGCTACCACCCACGTTTGCTGGACATGCCACCTCTGCTCAGCTGGCTAATTCTCAATCTTGAGAATTCAGCTTAAATGGCACCTCTGCACAGAGGTCCTCCTTGATTATGCATACCCCATCAGCTACCCGATCCCCAATTCCCCTTGTATTTGTCTTATTTATATTCTGCCTCTCACTTGGCTCAAATATGACAACAGAAGTTCGCCATGGCAGAGGCACCTGGCACACAGCAGTTGCTTACCAAATAAGCCCTAAATGAATGGAAACAACCATCCCAAGAGAAGAGACTTAACTAAAAGTGAAGTAGCTGGTCAGAAGCAGAGCCTGTACTAGAGTCATTTCTCCTCAATCATGTCCTGTTTCCTTCCCCATGATGGGACCAACTGTCAGGAACAGAGGGACACCTCTCCAGACTCTAACTTTGCCTGGTCTCCACCTTGGAGAGTTGCCCAGAGAGGGCCGCAGCTGGCCCATGCAGGTCTGTTGCTGCTGGGCTCACCCAGGGATGTCTGCACTAGCTCGGAACCCAAGAAGGCATCTAACTGACAGAACATATTTGCCCCAAAGCATAAGTAAGGGCTTTTGGAGGTGAGGAGGAGTAGGAATCCAGCTGGGAGGAAGTGTCCAAGACAGCAAAGTGACGACATAGTACCCTTGAGCTCCAGGCAGCATTATTAAGTTACCTTGCAGCTTACCTAAGGGGTGAGCTGGACAGTTAGAACTGGGAGGGAGGGAGAGTCCCACGTCAGATCTCTACAGCAACTGCGTGGGAAGTCAGGTAGTCAACTTGTTTCTCAATACGTCATGAACTGTCCACCATTGCCACCCAAGTGTTTCTGGTTGGGCGCAGTTTGATTTTTCAGAATATTTCTCAAAAACAGAGATAATTCTACCCCCAAAGGAGATAAGCTAAAGTCCAGGCACACAGAAATGCTCAGTAGTTTTTATTTCATCTCCTTTATGTAGATTTAGTTAACTTCCAGTGCGGATTGCTGTTAGTGAAGCACTAAAATATTTTCAAAATTAACAAGTTAAACTTATACAAAATCCACCAGAAAAAGACATTAACTTAAATACGTGGTGTTTAAGCTTTGAGACTTTTGCTAATGCCAATCTTAAAGACTGAATCCAAGATGTATGATGATAAGATAACGTAACCATTATTTTTTAAAAAGGACGGCCCTAGGCAAAATGGTTCCTAAGAGGGCCACACATTTAATACTGCTAGGACCCCTGAGAATTTTGGAGACTCCTTTTAATTCACATGATGAAGATTTACCGGAAGTCTAATACCTCGGGAGCCGGGACTACACCTGTGAGCAAACTGACCTTTCCTGCCTTCCTGGAGACAGGTGCTGATAGAGGAATGACAAAAATATCAAGCTGTAACAGGGGTGCGTGCCATGAGGACTAGCAATTTGTGGTCATATCAGGGGACCCCACTGAACCTCAGAGGAATTAGGGAACTCAGGGGAGGAGATGTCTAACCTGAGATCTAAAAAGGGGTAGAGGACTGGGCAGGGGTAGGGCGAGGCAGGCGGAGGGAATTGCACACTCATTAAACATCTCACATGCTTCCTCCTCAAAGGAGGGGTCTGGTTGATACGCCTTGTCCTTCCCAGCCACGTGTCGGAACCTTTGGCCTTAGCTGCAGAGATACAAAGTACAGGCTGATGTTTATGGCTCTGCAATGGAAGGCTTTCTCTCCCAACATTGGGCCAGCAGTGTCTCCTGTTCGAAACCTACCGCAGATTTTTGGGTTGATGCTGAACACTAGCTAGGGGCACATCAAGGGTCCCTTCTAACAACCTGCCAGAGTGCATGGCTAGAACAAGTTGGTGGGGTGGGACTTTATTCTTTTAAATCTGTAAGGCCAATCATGCAGTGACTTACCTATTCTATGAGGCTGGGCTTGATTTCTGGGTGAAAACAAGTTCACCCAGAACAAGGATGATGACTGAGAGGGGTGCCTGATTTGGTCCCACAGTTTCAGTCAAGCCAAGACTTGGTGTTGATCCCTTATTCCCACTCATCCTCAAAGCCCACTAAGGAAATATAGGCCTATCTCAGCTCTGCGGGGCCTGAAGAGGGCATGACGGGCATTATTTTCTTGTATACATTCTCTTTGTGGGGCTCAGGATGCAAAGAGCTATCATTCATTCAAGGGACATTGCTTAGTCAGTTGTTAAACATGACTATCTTCTCTTTAAATGAGTTAATACATGAGCACAGAAAGCATTACCAGTGCCAGGCACTCTAGGTAAGCATTCTATGTTAGCTCTTATTATTACCCTTAATATTATCCACTAGGACTCTTGAGTTCTTATCACTACCATTCAAGTCACAGAAAAGTGCCAGGAACATGGTAGGCATTCGTTAAATATTTCTTTATAAATGTTATAACTGAAACGTACTTAAAATTTTTAAATCCTTCAGTGCTCTGAATAAACTGTTGACACAGGACAGACAACAGAATCAAAGAGACCCAGGAAGGCAGCTGAGAGCCCAGTTGTGGGGGCCAGGGGTTAAATTGGCTACTCCACCCTTTAGCCATGGGACCTTGAACAAACTACTCAACCTCTCGGAGCCTCAGTTTCCTCATCTGTAAAGGGAAAACAACAATGCCTAAGTCACTGATGGCTGTGAGGATGAATGCAACAAAGAATTAGGATGAGGGGCACAGTAAAACATTCTAAATTTCACTAAACATTCCCTTTTATCACCACTGTCCACAGAAACTCAAGACTAAGAAAACATTCAGCTGTCAACCTTTACTGATATTTTTAAGTCACACTCATATTTCAAGCAGCTTTTGTGGAGACCGAAAACAAAAATTCTTCTAGTTGTTGTTTTTAAACACTTATAGATGATTGGTACACATCCGGTGGGAAACTCCCCAGCTCTTGGGAACTTTTCTTTTTCAAGTTGGAGTGGAAATGGACTCATTGCAGCTGCTTCCCCTGAAAAATGTCATAATACAACTTGCACCCAAGTCTTGTCACAGTGAACACAATCTTCCTAAAAGGCTCGAAGAGCAGCAGCCCTGAGGACCCCCACCTCTCACCTCTACCACTTGGAGGAGGAGGGGGCTCTGCGGGGCAGTCAGGTACTCCATGGTCACCTGATGCTCACATCACTGCTAGGAGGCTGGAGCCTTTAGCCTGTATTGCAGAAGAAACTTCAGTTTCTTCAGAGAGGTTAAGTAACTGGCCCCAAGTCACACAGCTAAGAGGAGGCAGAGGTGCATTCTGAATCTAGACGATGGCTGCCTATGGAAGACAGGTCAGGCTAGAGACCCTGAAGGAGGAAACAGCCTGTAAATAAACAAGAGTTGGGGCCACGCAGCCTGCCAGCCCAGGAGTTCAAGGGAAAAGGCCTGGAAATGATTCACAAAGAATAAATCCCGTAAATGGCAAACGAGAACAGCGGTGACCGTCACAAGGCCGCCTGCGGCCTGAGAATCGTGCCTTTTCTCACGTCCTCAAGGGATATTCAAAAGCCCTGCCCAAGGGCACCCCGACGACGATGGCCAAGAGCTCCCGCGAGCTATGCCTGACGTTGGCACCGCTGTGCACCAACACCACTTTCTCGCATCCTCGCAGCAATGACCAGCCCGGGGCAACCCATCATCCGCATTTCACCGGCAGGCGCAGAGCAGGCCAAGGCCCCGCGATGACGATCAGGGACGCGGGGACTGGAACCCAGGGCTGACCGGGAGCCCTCGCTGTTAGCCCTTGGAAGCAACGGACCCCTCCTTCCCGTCTAAATCGACTCCTCCTCCCTTTCCAAATCCCGAAGAGCGGGGTGTCCTCAGCCCGCTGGCCGGGAGGGAAGGGAGGACCAGCAGAGCAAAGTGAGCGATGCTGCACCCAAGTTCGGGGTTCGGCGCGCGCCGTCGGGGCCGCCCTGTCCCGCCCGCCCGGCTCCCCTGGGGCTGCGCTGGGGGCGGCGGAGGGCCGGGAGAGGAGGGAGGAGACGCGCAGGGGACCGGCGGCGGCGGCGGGGGCCGAAGTTACCGTTCCCGAGGCTGCCGGTGGCCCGAGGCGTCCGCGGTCTCCGGCCCTCCGCAGCCGGGGTCTGGGGCCGCTTTCCCGAAAACGAAAGTAAAAGCCCCAGCGCGGCCGGGGGAGGAGTCGCCCGCGGCGGGATGTGGCGCCGGGCTGGGCGCGCGCGCCGCCCGTGGCCCTGGACCGAGCGCCCGCGACGTTGGCGGCCGGCAAGACGCCCTGGGCCGCCGCGCGCCGTCTCGGGGAAGCGCTCCTGCACCCCGGTGTCGCGGGCGCGGCTCCCGGAGGGCGCCCTCTGCACAGCCGGCGGCGTGCAAGGGGGAGCGTGCGGGGGGAAGTTTGCTGAGCCCTCCGGGATCCCGCCGCGGGGCCGCCAGTCCCGGCAGAGCACGTTCGGAGCTCCGGCGCTCAGTGGCCGGGAGGGCGTGCTTTGCACACCCGCCGCAGGCGGTGCCCCGGGCCACGGAAACTGAAGAGACTTCCTGGCGCTCTTCCGAGCCCCCACCTCCACGGCCCCGCCGCTGCCCCCAGTCTACCCCTCCACTTGGCCATCCGCCCCAGTTCGGGGACCCAGTTCCCACTGACAGAGGGCTCTTCCCCAACCACACCCTGGACCCACCCCAGTCTGTGAGGTTCGTGTCCCCAGCGCGGCTCGGGGGCTCCATCAGCTTGAGTTACCTTCCCTCAAGGCCGAGGCCCTCCGGCCGGCAGTGAGAGCCGCTACTTACCGGGCTCCCCGAAGTTGCTTCCCCTTGAAAGGATGCTCTTCCTTGGCGCGTGGACAGCTGGACGCTAACTTCGGTGTCTCTGAGGCGGGTTCCCTCCTAACAGCCGCCCGTCTGAAGCAGCGCCAGACTCACTCGATCTGTTTATTGAGCGCCCCCTTGTGTTAGCCACTGGGTATGTGGCCGTGACCGAGTCTAATACGCGGGAGACCCCGTGCACTTTCGATTCCACCCCTTAATCCCACACCCGCGCTATACACGCACACGCGCGCGCGCACACGTCTTTCTTCATCCTTATCCTTGGGGCTCCAACGGAGGCCTCCAATGCCTTTCTCTTCAAGACTCCTCAGGGGAGCAACTACTTAACTCAATCACACCAAGATGTAAATATCTGAGAAGAAATTAGTTTTATTCATACCAGAGGTATTTTGCTATTCATGAACTATGAACACCTTGAGTGAACGGAGTGGAACCACGATGTCACATCAGGGAAGAACCATCTTGTCTTTCTGTCTTGGCTTCGCTGGGCCTGAGACTTCAATATTGCCTCTAAATATTACCAGGTAAGGACACGTACTTGGTTTAAGAAAGACTAGCCCCAGGTAAGGAAATAATGATAGTTTATTAACTTGTGCAAAATTCCTGAATTCCTGAGTATTTTTAGCATGCCATGTGGTTGAACTATTTCCAGTATACCTATGCATACCCCCCCACCCCCCACTCGCGACTTCTGCGGGTGTGGGGAGGAAGGGAAGAGAGTGGGAAGCTCAGGATACAGGCAGAATTCCCTGAAAGGGGCATTTATGTTGTACTTGATGTTGACTGATTGCCTCTCAGCTACAAATTCACCCTTTTTATCTGTTCTCTGAACGCATCATTTTCCTTTGTTGCCTGCCCCCCGCACCCCCGTGCTCCCCATCTTTGTTAAGCTTTTCCAATAGGAGGTGTTGGAGAAAGATTGCAGGAAAGATCTTGCTTCCTGGTTCTGCTGTGCCTGTCATGTATCTGGAGAATAATCAGGCTCTTGCCGTTTCCTGTAGCACCTGGCTTCCCTAGTGCCCACCTACTGCTGTGGCTGGTGTCCAGCAGGACCCAACAGCCAGCAACTTCCCTGGCCCTCCCTTCAGGTGTTTTGTGGCAGAGTGCCTCCATGGAGACACCTCCTAAGCTAGAGAGGAACAGCTCTCTCTAGCACCTAGGGGGTAAATTTCCAGAAAGTTCTAGAGGACCAATTTCAATCAAGTTCCCCTGTGTGGCACTGGCACCACACTGTCTTCTCTGCCATCTAATGAGCCATAGCCATATTCTCTCCAATGAAGTTTGGACCTCAGTCCTGGGGCAAGGCGAAGGTTGGGGGACTCTTTTCCCTTCTATCAGAGCTCTAGGGGTAGTGGCTTGTCAATATTGTTTTGTCATGTTATATGTTATTATGGGCTAGGTTGTGTCCCCTACCACCACTTCCCCCAAATTTATATGTTGAAGTCCTAACCACCAGTACCTCAGAATGTGACTGTATTTGGAGGTAGAGTTTTTAAAGAGGTGCAATGAGATTATTGGGGTAGGCCCTAATCCAGTATGACTGGCGTTCTTATAAAAAGAGATCAGGACATAGATACACACGGAGGGCAGACTGGAAACACAGGGAGATGGATGTCTGC